AGTTATTTAGCATCATGCTGTTTAGTGTCATGTCTTTGTGGGTTTTGGGGGGACTTTGTTGGTGTCAATGTTTATTTTTATTCCACTGTGGTCCGAGAAGGTGTTTGGTAGAATTTCGGTCCTTTTAAATTTGCTTATGCTTGATTGTGTCCAATTATGTGGTCGATCTTAGAATATGTTCCATGTGGTGATGAGTAGAATGTGTATTCTGTGGTCTTTGGAGGAGTGTTCTATAGGTATCAATTAAGTCTATTTGGTCCAGAGTCTCATTGAGGTTCCGGATCTCCTTGCTGATTTTTTGTCCTGATGATCTGTCTAAGGTTGTGAGTGGTGTATTAAAGTCCCCAGTTATTATGGTGTTAGAGTCAATGTCTTTCTTTAGTTTTCCTAGAAGTTGCTTTATGAATGCTGGTGCGCCTATGTTGGGTGCATATATGTTTAGGATAGATATTTCTTGTTGATGGAGTCAGACCTTTTATCATTATGTAGTGGCCCTCTGTATCTTTTTTAATTTTTGATAGCTTAAATGGTATTTTGTCTGAAATTAGTATCGCGACTCCTCCTTTCTTTTGTGTTCCATTCGCCTGAAAATTTGTTTCCCATCCTCTTACTTTGAGTCTGTGTATGTCCTTTCTAGTGAGATGGGTCTCTTGAAGGCAGTATATTGTTGCCTGGTGATATTTTATCCATTTTGTCATTCTATGTCTTTTCAGTGGTGCGTTTAGTCCATTCACATTCAGACTAATTATTGAAATGTGAGAGTTCTCCCTATCATGGAGTTCTTATTGAGTTATTGTTCTTCCACTTGGTTTTTTCTTTTTTTTTGTCTTTCTTTTGCTTTTGGGGTTGGTTCGTGTATATTTTATTCTTTTCCCTGTACTCTTGTGAAGAACGTTGTTCTTTTTTCCTTTTCTTCTGTGTTTAGTACTTTCTTAAGTGTTTCATGTAGAGATGGTTTTGTGGCTGCATAAGTTCTTAGGGATTGGATATCTGGGAAAGATTTTAATTCTCCCTCACTGATGAAGCTTAGCTTGGATGGGTAGGTTATTCTTGGTTGAAATTGTTTATCCTTTAGGACTTTGAAGATAGGGCTCCAAGCTCTCCTAGCCTGCAGGGTTTCTGCAGATAAATCTGCTGCTATTCTGATTGGTCTTCCATGGTGGGTGATCTGGCCTTTTTCTCTTGCTGCCTTTAGGATTTTTTCTTTTGTGCCTACTTTATTTAGGCGAATTATTATGTGTCTAGGAGCTGGTCTTCTCATTTGTTGTCTTGCGGGGGTTCTCTGAATCTCTTGTGTTTGAATTTTTGTATCACTGATTAGATAAGGGAAACTTTCTTGAATGATCTCGTGGAAAGTTTGTTCCAATGTGGTCTCTGTTTCTCTTTCTGCCTCAGGGAGTCCGATTATTCTTAGGTTAGGCCTCTTGAGGTAGTCACTCATCTCTTGAAGGTTTTGTTCTGTCTTTTTTAGCTTATTTTCTGTGTTTTTAAGAGTTTGGGTTATTTCTATATTTTGGTCCTCAAGCTCTGAGATTCTTTCTTCTGCTTGGGTAATTCTGCTTTCCATGCTTATCAATTTGTTATTTATTTCATTCACAGTATTCTTTATTACTGTTATCTCAGATATCAGCTCCTTCCTAGTTTCTTCTTGTGTCTCCTCAATTCTTTTTAATCTCTCCATTATTGTTTTGATATCTACATTTGCATTTTGAGACCCTTCATTCTGGGGACTTTCATTGTTTGTATTCCAAAGTCAATTTTCTCAGTGTCTGCTCTCCCAGGCGTCTGGGAGAGACCCATACTCTTCTTTTGGTTTTTCTTCATTTCTGTAGATTTTTCTCCCTTTACCCCTTTCCCTCCCCCTCTTCAATTCTGTTTTTGAGGGAAGGTGGGGTTGCTATTATTTCTCTTCTGCAATGACCTGTTCTTCCTTATGAGGGTCTTCTGGTTTTGTTCACTTTTCCCTCTGCTTTACAGTCTGTCTATTCAGCAGTTTGCAGTCTTGGTCCCAGTTCACCTATGCCGTCGCCATCTTGCCCCGTCTCCTGTAAATTTAAATGTTTGTACTTGAAACATGTTTTTTCAAGCTGGTATCTATAAAGCCCAAAAGGACTCCAGTGTCCTCCCCCCCCGGCGGGGTGTCAAGGCTGAGGAGCCAGTGTGTGAAAGCTGTGGGCCAGATCCCTCCCAGGATGGATTGCATGCACTCTGAGAGTTCTGGCCTTTGTGATTCTGTGGCCAGAGCATCTCTCTAGGCTGGGGGTGGAGACAGAACCGGTAGTCGTCAGAAGTGAGGGTTTGGTTCATCCTCCTGTGAAGTCTGGCTTGGGAAAGGCAGCCCAGCTCCACAGGGAAAGCCCTTGTAACTTTCTAAAAACTGCAGGAATGTTTCTAACCTGGAACAGCCTTCTTCGGCTCTAAATATCCCCCTTTTGTGCTCTCCTCCGCCCTGACACACACACGCACATACACAAACATGGGACTTTCCCACAATCCCGTCCTGCTTGGACTGTGAGTTGCCTTTGACTGCCAGGCAGTGTTCCCAGGCCCGAGACTCACCACTGCCCCAGGTTAAGGAAGACTGAGCAACAGACGGAGCCAGAGCACTAGACGGGAGGTGTGCTGGCGTCTGGGGAGGCAATGAGGTCATCGGGGACTGTGTGAGTCTTAAGTGGAGGAGGAGGCAGCCGCTAGTGTGAGATGGGCCCATCTGAGATAGAGCAGGGTGGGCAGCTTCCCTGACTGCCCCAGACATAATGCATAGAGGTCCAAGGTAGTGCAGGCGGTTGTGCAAGAGTGGATACTGCAGTGGGGACGGCGAGCCCAGCACAGGCTGACCTCCTGATGTTGAGTGAGCAGCCCATCTGCATCTCACTGCCCCAGGTCTGGCTGAGTCCCATGGCTCCCACTGATGGGGTAGTTCGGAGTGGTGGAGAGGTGAAAAGCACTGACAAGGACGCTGGGGTTCTGGGTTCAAAGCGGGCTCTGCTCTTAAGCCCTCAGTGTCCACGTCTAGTAAATGGGAGGATGGGGCTAGGTGGCCCCAGCTCCTTCCACTCGGAAAAACATGGTTTTGCCAGCTGTGTTCTGCTGTCAGCACCTTGCCTTTTGTCCTCCCTCTACTGTAGGGAGCAGATGGACAGACAGCTGCAGCCTCCCTGGAGCTCTTTGCAGCTGTGTGGGAGTCTTCGGTCTCTGTGCCCTGAGGCCTCCTGCGGAGGGAGAGCCTTTCAGAACCACAGACGACACTGTCCTGGCTGTGAGCAGGTCCTGCTACATGGACCAGGTGGGCCACACCAGGGGCCATGAAATTGGACAGACGTGGCTCCCAGGTCTGGCTCCTCTCCTCCTGGGTCTTTGTCCTCTGTAAACCACGGGTAGTCATGCTTCCTTGTGGAGTCACGTGGTGGTTAAACAAGATGTTTTTAAAGTGCTTCTCACAGTACCTGGCGCACAACTGTTAGATGTGCTGGTATTGTTAGAGAGAAGATTAAGTCTCTACCTAGCCTCCTAACACAGAGAGCCTCACCTTGGGAAGGGACCAGCCTGGGTATTTTTTCTTTTTTTTTTAATTTAATTTTTATTTTATTTTATTTAAGATGTGGGGTATAAAACAGAATTAGGTACATAAGTGGTCATCGTACAGGTGAGGTTTGGGCCTCTCTTTGGTCTCTGCTTCACTTGGTTTGAGATCAGGTAGGTACCCTTATTGATATGTGCCCCCTCTCCGTGTCCTGCTACTACCAATCCCTTTCTTGTCGTATTATGATAAATGTTCAGGGTCCACTTGTGAGTGAGAACATGTGGTACTCAGTTCTTTGTTTCTGTGATAGATCATTGAGTACGATAGATTCTAAATCCATCCAAGTTTCTGCAAAGTCCATAATTTTGTCCTTCTTTATGGCTACGTGATATTCCATCATGTATATGTACTACTTTTTTTTAATCCAGTCACTTTCGTTGGACAGCACAATTGGTTCCATGTTTTTGCTGTTGTGAATAGTGCTGCAATAAACATGCGTGTGCAGGGATCTTTTTTGTAGAGTGATTTGCGTTCCTCTGTATATATTCCCAGAAGGGGGGGTTGCTGGGTCATATGGAAGGTCAATTTTTAGATCTTTTAGGAATTGCCACACTGTTTTCCACAGAGGTTGTACTAATTTACACTCCCAATAACAGTGTAGAAGTATTCCCTTTTTCCCACATCCTCTCCAGCTTCTGTTGTTTTTTGAGTTATTGGTGATGGCCTTCCTGACGGGAGTTAGGTGGTATCTCAGTGTTGTTTTGATTTGCATTTCTTTAATGATTAGTGAGGCAGAGCATTTTTTTTTCTTTATGTATCTGTTGGCTGCTCGGGTATTTGTTCTTTAAAGAATGTTTCTATTTCCCGAAATTGCCTGTAATGGTTGCTAAAATCATTTTATCATTAGAAACATCCTGCTTAAGAAAAGGAGCTTGCAGGCATGGTGTTGGTCTTATAAAATTAAGAGCTAAAATAGTTTACTGTTTTAAGAGCCAGTTAGTTATTTTGGACAACTTGGAAAAATACATGACACTGGAGAAACACTTTGAATCCCACACCCATGTGCAACCCCTATTAGCAACTGGTTGTTTTGAAACAGAAAGTTTGTCTATAGACGGGCTCTGAGAGGCAGGGAAAATGGGGCTTTATTGAGGGCTGTTTGGAGCTCTGTCTGCAGTAATGGTGCCCAATACCCAGTTTATGTAGAAGATGTTCTCTGGGCAGGTGCACCCAGTGGGCTACTGGAGCTGGCTTGGAAGCCTCTAGTTAGCACCTCTTTTCGCTTGTCAGAAATCAGCCCTGGTGGAAATATTTACACCCTGGAAATTGGCCAATGCTTCAAATCAGGTGGGTCCCTCACCCCCAGAGCCAATTTTTCAAATTGGATCCCCAAGGCTCAGCGTTTGGGGTTGTACCGTGAGTCTCAGTGGCAAGGCTGAGATGTGAGCCCAGGATAGCCTGACTCCAAAGCCTGTGTTCTGGACCCTGGGCCATGCTGCCTTGGGTCTCAGCCCTGAAGCCATCTGCATCTGGGATGGCTTCCTGAGGACAGGATTCTAGGAGTGGAATCACTCCATCAGGGAGGTGTAATGCTGGGCTTGGGGAGTTTTTCAGAAAGCTGCAAAACTGGAGTTGTAAGAGAGGTCTGGCCCACTCCAGACTGCCTTCTTTGCCTGTTTTCAGCTCTATGGAAGGCGTGCCCCCTGGGAGGACCCCGCCAAGTGGGTGATGGACACCTACCCATGGGCAGCCAGCCCACAGCAGCACGAGTGGCCTCCCTTGCTGCAGCTGCGCCCTGAGGATGTCGGCTTCGATGGCTACTCCATGCCTCGGGAGGGGTCGACAAGCAAGCAGGTACCCCCCAGTGATGCCGAAGGAGATCCGCTGGTGAGTCCCAGGGTGCTTACTGTGTGCTGAGCACAACACTAGACACTCCGGAAACACGTGTGTGGCCAGCCCCACCTTGCTGGGAAGGCTGGCTTTATCCGAAGGCTAGGGCCATTTTTCCCAATCTTTTAGTCCATGGTTTCAGTTGTTCACTAAAGCCTTTAACCCCTCTGAAATATTTCCTGGTATCAGGTTAGAAGTTAAGAATGTGACATTTCCCCCTAAATCCCTAAGTGTTCCCATACCTGTTGTCTGAACACAGCTCTCTGCCCTCTGATTTGGGATGCTGCCTTTATTCTGTACTATCTGGTTCCTTTGATCTCTCCTACTAATAACTGAGCAGAGCAAGAGATTGCCAAGGCCCAGAAACCCAAGCCAATTGATCAGGCATTAGGCAGGTAGAGCTCTGAGATCAGGAGGGACTCACAGAGGGGAGGGGGCCTGAAGGTGGCCCCACAGTGGGTCAGATGAGTTGAATCTTCAATGCTGCTTGAGCCATTGCTAAAGCAGTAAGGCCTTTAAGAAGTACCTGGGCCTGCCCGTAACAATAGCATTTCCTTTTTTTTTTTTTTTGAGTTGGAGTCTCATTCCATCACCCAGGCTAGAGTGCAGTGGCACACTCACGGGGCAAGGCTGGGCTTCGGCGATTCTTCCTCCTCAGCCTTCCAAGTAACAGGAACTACAGACATGCGCTACCATGCCTGGCTAATTTTTTGATTTATTGTAGAGACAAGGTCTCACCATGTTGCCCAGGCTGGTCTTCAGCCCGTGGGCTCAGGCAGTCCTCTTGCCTCAGCCTTCCAAAGTGCTGGGAATACAGGCTTGAGCCACTGCGCCTGGCCAACAATAGCATTTCTAAGGCATTGTAGGACTCTGTCAGTGCAAGACCCATGCAGAGTTATACTGTTAAGTTAGACCCAGCAAGTCAGAAGCCCTGTAAAATAAGAAGGAAGCAAGTATACCAAAACCTCCCATAGTTACATGACTATTATCATGCCTTCATTCAGCGCTGAGCTTCCTTGGCAGCTTTAACAAAAAGAAAAACAGAGCAGGAAATATATATATATATTTTTTGAGTTGGAGTCTCACTCTGTTGCCCAGACTGGAGTGCAGCGGCCGCGCCCGGCCACCGCAGTCTCAACCTGCTGGGCTCCGGCGATCCTTCTGCCTCAGCCTTCCGAGTAGCCAGAATTACAGGCCTTCGCTACCATGCCCGGCTGATTTTTTTTATTGTAGAGATGAGGTCTCGCTGCCCAGGCGGGTCTCGAATCCGCGGGCTCAGGCAATCCACTCACCTCAGCCTCCCAAAGGCGCGGGATTACAGGCTGAGCCACTGAGCCCAGCTAGAACAGGAAATATTACTTGCTTTACCTAATGAGAGAAAATATTCACAAGAGGTGGAGCAGGACTGAAGACAGCTGATAAGGCTGGGGGCATGGTGGCTCATGCCTATAACCCCAGCGCTTTGGGAGGCCAAGGTGGGAGGATCGCTTGAGGCTAGGAGTTTGAGACCAGTCTGGACAACACAGTGAGACCTTGTCTCTATAAAAAATAAAAGTAAAAAATTAACTGGGCATGGTGGCATAGCCCTAGCTTCTTGGGAGGCGGAGGTAGGAGGATCACTTTAGCCCAGGAGTTGGAGGCTGCAGTGAGCTATGATCGCACCACTGCACTCCAGCCTGGGTGATAGAGTGAAAAAATAAAAATAAATATTATCAAAGTTTGAAAAAGTAAGACAACCAATTTACTATTTCATTCCTAGCAGCTAATTAATTTGTGAGTTAAAAAATCAATAACTGGTTCGGGTTATCTGCCGTCCTATAGATTAGTGGGATATAGCTGTGAGGATTGTAGCAGGCAGTATTTTTTTTTGAGTTGGAGTCTCACTCTGTCACCCAGGCTAGAGTGCAGTGGCATGTTCACGGCCACCCCAGCATTAACCTGCTGGGCTCCGGAGAGCCTTCCACCTCAGCCTTCCAAGTAGCCAGAACTACAGGCGTGTACTACCACACTTGGCTAATTTTTTAATTTATTATAGAATTGAGGTCTCACGAAGTTGCCAAGTTGCCAGGACTGGTCTCGAACTCATGGGCTCAGGCAATCCACTCACCTCGGCCTCCCAAAGTGCTGAGATTATAGGCTGAGCCATCCAGCCCAGCCAGGCAGTATATTTTTAAAGGATTTATTACTTGTGTTACTATGTGCAACCTTGTTTGCAGTATTCACAGCAGCGGTATTGCAGAGGAAAGAAACACTTTAAACCACCATCTCCAATGTTAATCATTGCTGAAAAACAAGGTCAGCTCATGAGGTCTTCACTTATATAAAAACAGAATTTAGGATGTTTAGAGGGAAGACTGACCAGCCCATCCCTAGGGGGTCTTTTCTGTGTCCAATCTGTTCACATCACTGATTGGACACAGAGTTAGGACCATGATTCTTGAAAAGGTTACACAGAATTCTCCTTCTAGTCCCAGGCCCAGGAAGCGAGGTGTGCCAGCCACTTCAATTACCAAGTTAGATGTTTGGTTTTCTTCCCAAGTCCTGTTCTCTCTGTGTGGGGCCACAGATCTCTGTCATAATAACTCTCTTATTTGGTCATGTCCATCCCCCATGAGACTGAGACTGCATGAGAACAAGATTTAACTTATTTCCATTCCAGAACCACATTCTAGGGCCCTACTGGAAATGTGTGATGAGTAAATAAATAATCCCGACTGCCAAGGTTTGTCACTTCAGTGCCACCTCTTCCCTGGCTATGTCTATGCAGATGGACACCAGACCATGGTGCACCTGTGGCCTGGCTCATCTAGGTAGACTCTGCAAAGCACCCTGAGGGACAGCTGGCCAGGAAGCTGCAGGATTGTACACCCAGCTGCACCACACCTTGGCCCAAGCTCAGAGAGACTCACTCTTCCTCACTTCCTTACTATATAAGATATAAAGCACACACAGGGTATAGCTCTAAATAAAAGAAGTGTTTGATCCCCCTGCTCACTCCCAAACTAGTGACCAATGGACTGGAACGCAGGGAAGACTCACGAACTCTGTCTCTAAACTCCTTTTCTTTCAGTTAGATGATGGTGGCAACAGGTTACATTTATTAGACACTTACTATATGCCAGGCCAGCCCTCTACTAAGGGTGCGATGCACACTATGACATTTTGTTCCCCACTTCAGCCCCATGAGACAGGCGTTACCGTTCAACCCATCCTGCAGATGAGGAACTAGGGGCTCAGCTGCTTCGGGCCGTTGCCCAGAGATTCCTGAATCATATCCAGGCCTCTCTGTACTCTGAGATCTGCTGCTCATGCCTGGCGTCCCACCTCCCACCAAGGCCTCAGCAGGAGCTGGGCCCAGTTGGCACCCATCTCACTTCTGGCCAGAGCCAAGGAGCAGATGGGCTTGATGCCCCTCAAGTAGGCATGTGCTCAGGATATCAGTGATGCTGGATGTTCCCAGAGCAGGGTCACATGACCAGGCCGAGGCCTAGGCTTGGGTAAGGTGCGCCCCTCCCAAATAAAAAGTAAAAACTTTATAGAGGGCTTTCTATTTTGTTTACATCACCCTGCCTATATTAACCCAAGCCACCCCATAACACTGTAGGGCAGGCACTGTGATTATTCACATTTGACCAGTAAAGAACCAAGCACAGAGAGGTAAAGTAACTTGGTCAAGGTCATGCAGCTAGTAAGTGGTGGGGTCGGGATTTGAACCCTGGAAGCCTGACTCAGAGTCCACACCCCTGTCCACCGTCTCCCTTGTGGGCCACGATGCCAGGTGAGTCTGGGGGACTTCTAGGAGCTTCTAGGAGGCCAGGAGCTGCTGACTAGGCTGAAAGCACCTCACCTGTCTCTGTGCTTCCCCAGATGAACATGCTGATGAGACTGCAGGAGGCGGCCAGTTACTCCAGCCCCCAGAGCTATGACAGTGACTCCAACAGCAACAGCCATCACGACGACATCCTTGACTCATCCTTGGAGTCCACTCTGTGACGGCCCGGCCATGGAGTCCGCCGCCCCCCGCTCCCCGCCCCGTTTCCCCTGCATCCCCCACGCCCTCCTGAAGATGACTTCCTGAGCCAGCCTTAGCGCCACGGGAGCCCTGAGACCCCTCGTCCTTCAGCCTCGTCCTGGGTGCAGGCATCCCGGGCCGGCCGCCTGCGGATCGCTCCCCTCCCCGGGGAGAACTGCACTACCTTCTGTTTCACCTTGATTCTCGTTTTGCCTTGTTGCTGTGACCTCCCTAAGACACTGGAGATACTTCTCGGGAAAGGATCCTCGCCGTGTCGAAACAAAGAGAGAACCCACACAGAGCTCTGAAACCAAACAGCCTCCTGCCATGAGTGGCCCAGAGACGGAAGAGACTGGAGCAGAGGCAGAAACACACACACAGCGTGGCGGCCCCTCTGCCCAGACCCTCCGGACTGGGCTCCATGGCCTCACCACCCTGCCCACCCGGCCGGCCACAGGGAAAACTGGTGCTAACTAGGGCGCTGGCTCCGTCAGGCCACAGAGCTGCGACATAGGAACCTTTGGAGAAAACAAATCGTGCTTTCTTGTTTTTCAAATGGTGCCCTCCATGCCCGAGAGGTGTTTTTGCTTGTCCCTTCAGTCACCCCTCTCGGGTCTATCAACCTCCTTGAGCCCGTGAGAGCGAGTGGGAGAGTGAGACTGGGAGTGAGTGGCTGTCAACGCAGAACCGCATGAGTCTGTTTCCTTATTATATATGAATGGATCAGGTTTTATTTTCTGCAAACACTGTGTATAGTGAGACTTGTTCTACTTTGGGGAACTGATTACCTTTTTAGGAGGAGGTTGCATTTCTTCCTTTCTGATGCATTGATTTTTTTTCCCCCCCAGATTTTTCTCCTTCCCCTCTCAGTCAGAATCAATCCTTTGGTGAAAGTAAGAACCGCAGGAGTTGAGTTTTGGTTTGGTCCTGCTCAGTTTTGGTTTTCAGTTGTCCGTTCCTCACGGTCCTCCACACTGGCCTCCTCCCACTGGGGTGGGGAGGGGTCTCTGTGTCCTTTCAGACGGGCAAGGAGGACCCCAACCCCAACGTGTGGGGAGCCATGGACCTTGCCTTTCCTTCTCGTCCTTGAGAGTCTAGACACACATCGACACCTCAAGCGTCCCAGTCCCCGCTTCCGGAGGGGAGATGAGGTCACCTCGCAAAAGACTCGCACTTTTCTCAGATCCAATACAACAGCAAGAGTGGGGGCCACTCCCTCCCAGAAGCCCCGTCTGGACGAGCCTTGCCTGACCTCTTCGGTGCTGACCTTCCCAGAGCGATGCCTTACCGGTTTTGTACTAACCGTGTTCATTTACATGCGTGTCGTGCCTGCCTGGGGTTTGTTTTGTTTGTTCGTTTGTTTGCCCCATCAAAACAAACAGGGCTAAAAAAGTCATCTACTCATTGAGAGAACTCAAGTTGCTTTGACATTTCTCGTTCAAAAGACTCATTTGTGTGGGGGGAAGATCTATTTGTTTCATTTTTTTTACAGTTCTTCTCAGTCTCCAGCTAACAACCTGAACGGGCAATGAACTGTCTCGTGCAGGAAAAGGCAAACGTTCCTACCAATCTGATACTTGCCCTAACAGAAACCCAGTCTACTGTGTCTCCAACGTACTGAGATTTTCTTTACCCAGTGTGGTAAACCTTAGAGGTGTTTGTTTCTGTTTGTAAAGAGAATCTTTATCGGACCCCAGCGAGGGTGTCTGTTAATGATCAGGGTTTTTAATTCCATCTTTTGCATTTCTGTTTCTGAAGCTTTGTCTCTTGACACTTGTTCTTGTTTTCTCACCATAAGAGCTTGACCTGAAACTGCTCACTTCACATGAGATGACACCCTTTTCTTCCCCTTTGAGAGAAGAAGGGAAATGTGTCCTGCTAACTGGTGAATGGAAAACCTTTCAACGCTACTCCTGCTTAAATCTCAGTAAACTCAGACTATCCTGCTTAGCCTTTGTGAGTTATCTGGGTGGGTGAGTGTGTCTTGTTCTGTTTTTGTTTTTAATACAATTTTTAAACTATATATTCAGCCTGTGACCAGAGGGCCAAACCCTGAGATTTCTGGTAAACCTGAAGGGTGGCCCTTCTCAGACAATTTGTCGCCCAGCAATGACCTTACACTCTTGTACTGTGAATTTGGGAGGAGGTGAAATTGACTTCTCCTCGAGGGCAGTCACCTTTTGAGTAGACACCTGCCAATATTGTTTGAAACCTTTTTTTTTTTTTAATGTCATCCTCTCTTGCCTTTCTCTTCTCCCCTCCCCCACAGACTTCCCTCCCACTGGGTTGAGGCTCAGATTCGAGACCTCTGTACCTGGTGCTGCTTGATGGGTGAATGGTGACTTCGAGTATCATAGCCCTTGTCTGACTCACAACTCAGCATCCTTCCTAAAGCTTCGGGAAGCAGGGTTGTCTAATATGCACATTTCTTGTTTTGGCCATATTTTTACATTCATGTCACTCACCTTCAACAAAGTGACTTTGTACTCATTTGGGGCTCTGTCCGAAATGCTTCCATTTTGCCTTTTTCTACAGTTAGGCTGATTTTGAAATGTCTGAAATTCTATGCAACACTTACATTGAGTTACCAATGGAAGCCAAAAGTTCTCTTCCCAAACTGCCAAGAATGACACAGGCCATAAATGAGGTGGGAATTCCTTTTAATTTATGGTTGGGTGGGGCTGGGGTGGGGGCAGGGGACCAGGAACACAAGACTTGCCTAGACCTTTGTCACATCTTGGGAACTTTTTTTTATTTTGTTGTTTGCTTCTTAAACTTCAGAATTCTGTGGGTTCAAATTTAACTGTGGCGAATCTACTTAAGGAAAAATAATCCAACTTTGTGGATATTAAATGGAAGGTTTGCTGTTTTGACCTAGTTATTTCCAGTGGAGCGGTTTATGAAATATGTTCTATAAGATGTACATTTTTTCATTGTAACATAGAAATTGTAAATAATTGATTAAAGTGCTGCATTTTGATGAATTTTTTCTAGCCATTTTTAAAGAGAAAAACTAGGAATTGAGTATTTTGTGTACGGTATGTTTCCGCCCTCCCTCCCCTGGCTTCCCCCCTTCCTCCCTATTTAATTTTCATTTGTCATGAGGTTTTTGGAGTTGCCAATGATCTGCTGGACATCATGCCCCACGTCATAGAGAATAAAGCTGATGATTGTACCAGTCTTAAATTATTCATGATTCAATAAAAATTGATGCTTATTTATTCAGATTAGTGGTTTGGCTTGTCTGTGCTGGTGCAAGTTCTCACGGGAGTTTAATTTCATGCCAAGAGGAAGCCGCTCATATCCAGATGCAGTAAACACAGGGAAAACCCAGAGTTGCTGCAGTCCATCTTTGTCAGTGTGGCGCCAACATCCCACCTCATCCGTTTTTCAACCATTATTGCTAGGCATGTGGAACTTCTTAGAAATGCAGCATTTCACACCCTCTCAAACTATAGGAGCCACTGGGGAGCTTGTGGAGATGCAGATTCTGATTTGGTAAGTACAGGGTGGCACTTAAGAGTCTCAGTTTCTAGCAAGTTCCTGGGCAATGCCAGTGCTTGGTCCCTGGACCACACTTCTGTCAGTGCCTACTAACTTCCAAATGCTTTATCAAATACTTAGTAGAATGCAAGATGACACTGGGGAAGTCTTCTTACTCCCATTTTACAAGTAAAACACTGAGAGAAAATGACTTGCTGAGGAAGCCACAGTTAAGAGGTGAGAACGCTGGAGTTTCAGCCCCATCGGCTGACTAAACCCTGCCTTCCTGGGCTGCCCTCTGACCTTGGGGGCCTCCTGTCACACAGCAGCTGACATCCACAGCAGACAGAGGTAGTGGGAGATGCCATTTCATCTTAGCATGCACTTTTAATGGCAACAACACACATTTGAAAGGCTTGATTTGAGGTGAGTCCTGTGGGCTCCTGGGGAAGTTGGCTCTGCATAGCTGGCTCCACTGTGATGATGTGAGATGTCTCACTCATTGTAATGCACTACAGTGGGGGAGGGTAGAATCCAGATATTAGCATGGGCAGTTTTTAATGCCTGTCCAAAAAAAAAGGAAGGGGAGGTAGTACAATGGTTTGGCAACTAGATGTCCTGAATTCCAAAATGTTGCATGGCAAATATTCTATCCCATGGCTATGTGACATATCCTGATGTTACCCAGGAAGCATGGTCACACTAAAGGGTGTGATAGCCAGGTGACTTTTTTTTTTTTGAGTTTGGGGGTCTTATCCAGGCTGGAGGACTATGGCATGATCAGGGCTCACCACGGCTTGACCTCCTGGGCTACGGTGATCTCTTGCTTCAGTCTCCCAAGTAGCTGGGACTACCAGGCATGCGCCACTACACCCAGCTAATTTTTGATTTTTTGTAGAGATGAGGTCTCGCTGTGTTGCCCAGGCTGATCTCGAACTCCCGGGCTCAAGCTTTCCTCCTGTCTCAGCCTACCAGAGTGCTGGGATTACAGGTGTGAGCTATCCTGCCTGGATGGCTTTTTAACAAGAAGGGGAGGAAGGAAATGGTGTGTTTGTGGACTTACTGGGTGCCAGATGTTGTAGTGAAAATGTCACTATTACTCATGATCACAGTAGCTCTAAGAGGCGAGTATAATTATCTCCATTTTACAAGTGAGAAAACTGAGGCTGAATAATGTTAAATCACCTACTACATAGCAGAAATGGAATCCTCGGTTTATCTGATTCAAAATCTCACTCGCCCAGGCTGGAGTGCAGTGGCACGCGCACGGCCACTGCAGCCCCAACCTGCTGGACTCAGGCGATCCTCCCACTCAGCCTTCCAAGTAGCTGGAACCACAGGCACGCGTCACCACGCCTGGCTAATTTTTGTATTTATTATAGAGATGAGGTCTCACCAAATTGCCCAGGCTGGTCTTGAACCTCTGGACTCAGGTAATCCTCTGACTTCCGCCTCAAAGTGCTGGGATTATAGACATGAGCCGCCACGCCTGGCAACTCATGCCCTTTCTGCTACGCCGTGCGACAGTCAGCTTAGGTTGGACTTTGAGGGGAGGGTTACACACCCCTCTGTGTTTGTTCTTTATTGTTATGTCACAAGTTACCCCCAAATCTGGCAGCCTAGGGCAACCCACATTTTCTCCTGGTTTCTGTGGATTTAGAGTCTTGGCTGGAGCCCT